GTTTCTCCAAATTGGACAACTTTTAAGACTTGTGGACTTCAACTCCCAGAATTCCTCAGCCAGCAGGGGAATTGAAGTTCAAAAGTCTTTTTAAAGTTGGAGAATCCTGTTCTAGGCTACCTCTGACTGATCTCTCTTTCTCTGAAACTTTCCCAGCTTCCTGCCATAAATTTGGGAAGAAGTTGTCACTACTTTTGAAAGAAGTCTTCCTTTCAAATGTTGGCAAAATATAAACTCCATGGAGATGCATTGAAACTTAACACAGGAAAACCTGTGTGTTAAATCCAGTACATTTTGGGGGTCAGCAGGTTGAAACTATCTTTTTTTTTATGATGATGCTTATGTTTGAACTAGACTCTGTATTTATCTGTATTTATTTATTCTGTTATATTATGTAGGGTATATTGGACGCTCACCTTTGAGAGCTGTAGGCAGCGAAATTTCACTTTAATGTATGCCGATTAGTGTGCATTCAAAGCGACAATAAAGTAATTCTATTCTATTCTATTCTATTCTATTCTATTCTTCTATATTATATATTCTATTATATATTCTGTTCTATTCTACACTAGCTCAATACCCGTGCTTCGCTACAAAACTATGTGGTCAGGCTTATTTTGGGGGGGAGGAAAATAAGGGGGAGAAAATTGCCTCTGCCTAACAGCATCCATCTGTATTCATCTGGCTAGCATCCAGTCAGTGTGTGAGAGAGTTGAGGGCTGTTTGGAAAGTGAAACAGTATTTGCTGTGTGAGCCAGAAGGAGACAGCAAGGAGCCTGGGCTTGGCTTAGCTCAACTGTTCTGTACTAAAGCTGGTTGCTTCTGTGAAACTGAAACTCCTCTGCTTATGTTTTGCATTTGGAACAGATTTCTTTTCAGGTGGGGAGGGGGAGTAGAACTCTTTAGCATCAGAGCATGTTAATAATATAGGAAATACTAATGCTCTGATGGTCATTTCAAAAAATCCTTTCTTAGTGAGCATCTAGAAGCCAAGAGGAACCCATGTACCCAATTTCAAGTTTGTAGGCTTTACGGTTCTGGAGATTTTGTGATGATGTGTGAGTGGTTTTTCGCTTTTATATAGATAGATTCTATACTCTATTCGACTCTATTCTGTATTCTGTTCCATTCTATATTCTATTCTATATTCTGTTCTATTTATTCTATATTGGCAATATCCTGTCATTTTAATTAGTCATGAAGAAACGTGGTGTGTATAATGGGAACAATAATGAATGCACAATCCTTCTTTTGAACCAGGCAACCATCGAATTACCCCGGCAATACAATGCTTCGGTTTCAGTTTGGAACAGCCGCATCCTTTGCCAGGGTCACATGCTGTTGTGAGGAGGCTTCTGCTCCCGTTGTATAATTTTGGAAAAACAATCCAGTTCCTTTAATGAGACAGGGATAGCTGCTGTCTGTCCCGAAGACGAATAAGTTGGTATTAGTTGGGAACAGAGTTTTAGAATCCTGTCGAAAGAATCCGTTCCCACTGAAATACACCAGGGCTGCTTATTTATAATTTTGATGAGTAGCTGAAGGGAGACAACTGATAGCCCTGCTGATGTTACCTAGTTTGGTAATGAAACGTCTGCAAGAAAATAGCCAAGCTCAGATAGCGCCAAGGACCCCACAGTCGTCTCCTCCTCTTCATCCCATTCTCCTCCTCTTCCATTCAACAAACTCCACTCCCTTTCTAGCACTGATGATGTTACCTAG